AGTAGGACTCCTCTTTAGGCATGAGGCTGACAGTAGGACTCCTCTTTCTTTAGGCATGAGGCTGACAGTAGGACTCCTCTTTCTTTAGGCATGAGGCTGACAGTAGGACTCCTCTCTCTTTAGGCATGAGGCTGACAGTAGGACTCCTCTTTCTTTAGGCATGAGGCTGACAGTAGCACTCCTCTTTCTTTAGGCATGAGGCACGCCATCTACGATAAGCTGGACGACGACGGGCTGATTGCGCCGGGCGTGCGCGTGTCCGGCGAGGACGTGATCATCGGGAAGACGGTGACGCTGCCGGAGAACGACGACGAGCTGGACAGCACCAACCGGCGCTACACCAAGAGGGACTGCAGCACCTTCCTGAGGACCAGCGAGACCGGCATCGTGGACCAGGTCATGGTGACGCTGAACCAGGAGGGCTACAAGTTCTGCAAGATCCGGGTGAGGGCTCCGGCCTCTGGCCCCCAGCGGCCCCCAGCGCTCCCTCACCTGAACCAGCCTCTGAACCAGCCTCTGTCCCCAGGTCCGCTCCGTCAGGATCCCCCAGATCGGAGACAAGTTTGCCAGCCGGCACGGGCAGAAGGGAACCTGCGGGATTCAGTACAGACAAGAGGTGAGAGGCATGGGGGGAACGGGGGGGAGGCCCCAAGAGCAGAGCTGGTCTGTTAGCTTCTGTTAGCTTCTGTTTATTTGAGGGCAGAGCAGGTCCAGTCCTCTGTTAGCTTCTGTTTATCTGGTCCGAGAGAAGAGCAGGTCCAGTCTTCATTTAGCTTCTGTTAGCTTCTGTTTATCTGAAGAGAAGAGCAGGTCCAGTCCTCGGTTAGCTTCCTCAATTAGCTTCTTCTGTTAGCTTGTTTGTCTGTTCTGAGAGCCGGTCCAGTCTTCCGTTAGCTCCTGTTAACTTCCTCTGTTAGCTTGTTTGTCTGTTCTGAGAGCCGGTCCTGTCCTCTGTTAGCTTCTGTTAGCTTGTTTGTCTGGTCCGAGAGCCGGTCCAGTCCTCTGTTAGCTCCTTTTAGCTTCCTCTGTTAGCTCCTGTCAGCTCCTGTTAGCCCCTGTTAGCTTCCTCTGTTAGCTTCTGTTTATCTGGTCTGAGAGCCAGTCCAGTCTTCTGTTAGCTCCTTTTAGCTTCCTCTGTTAGCTCCTGTTAGCTTCCTCTGTTAGCTCCTGTTAGCTTCCTCTGCTAGCTCCTGTTAGCCTCCTGTGTTAGCTTGTTTGTCTGCTCCTGCAGGACATGCCGTTCACCTGTGAGGGCATCACCCCGGACATCATCATC